GTGGTGGCCCTCCCGGTGGTGGAGGTGGCCCACCCGGTGGAGGAGGTGACGGAGGTGGTCCGAAGGCTCCTGCTGCTGGTGGTCAAATGGCAGGTAATAAAGCCTGCTCTCTTTTAACATCGAAAACAAAGTATTAAATCAATCAGGCACCTACGATCCAAACTACCAAACTCTTGCTGGAATTGGTGGAGATGTGTTTGGAGCAGATAAAAAAGCTGCCGGCGGAGGTGGTGGGGGTGGCGCAGGAGGTGGAGGAGGTGGAGGGGGAGGTGGTGGTGGTCCCAAAGCTCCCGCTGCAGCAGGCGCAATGGCAGGTAAAGTATAATTTAATCAAGGATTTGCCATTTTCTGTATGCTTTTAGAGTTCCTTGATAAATAGCATCAGTATATTAATTACCACAGTGCTATATGAACTTACTCATACATAAAAATTAAGGTACCTTCGATCCAAACTATCAAACTTTGGCTGGCATTGGTGGAGATGTGTTTGGTGCGGACAAGAAGGCAGCAGGTGGAGGGGGTGGAGGTGGAGGCGGTGGCGGAAAGCCTCAAGCTCCAGCCAACCAGGTTTGGTATCTCCCAAAAGATGATTGGAAGCAAGCCATTTAGCAAGAGAGGGTCAATTAACGTTCAACAACTTTCCTTTCTCTATTATTAGGGTGCGCAAGCTGGAACATTTGATCCGAACTACCAAACTTTGGCAGGAATTGGTGGAGATGTATTTGGTGCAGACAAAAAGGCAGCTGGTGGAGGCGGCGGAGGCGGTAAAAAACCTATAGCACCAGCTAATCAGGTAGGCTTCATTAACCTAACTCCTTGCTGCTTAAAAGCAAGTGCTCTATGGGTGTTTGTTGCGTCTACGGCCAGATTTCACTTAACTCATCTCATTCCGCCGTTTTAGAGCACTCTTCTTTAGCACAAGCAGAAATAAGCAAATTTCATTTGTGACGAATTCTCGCTTATAAAGAACATATAGGGGGCAAAAGCTGGCACATTTGATCCCAACTACCAGACTTTGGCCGGAATTGGTGGTGATGTATTTGGTGCAGACAAGAAAGCAGCTGGTGGAGGAGGTGGTGCCAAGAAACCGCAAGCTCCAGCCAATCAGGTTCGTCTTTTTTTTCCAAGATATGATAGAAAAGCAATTGTGAGAAGCAGTATTAGGCAAAGTTTACGTTGAGCTAACTTTCCTATTAACTTTCCTATTAAGGGTGCACAAGCCGGTACATTCGATCCAAACTACCAGACTTTGGCTGGTATTGGTGGAGATGTGTTTGGTGCTGATAAAAAGCGTTGAAAGCCTTCCGGACTGCTTAGTTTGGTGAAAGAATAAAGCTGAAAGTTATTCCTATGCTTATTTTCACATTTTCATTCAATGTAATGATCGTCGGCCTGCAGGCCAAAATCTCCAGCATATCTCAGCCGAGAAACCATTTGAAACAAAGTAGTTATTTTTGTACATTAAGATTTCAATTAGACAACACAATTTGTTTACTCTGATAAAT